AATAATTTTATTTTTACATGAAAGTCTGTACCTTAATCTACTTTTCTACATAATTTCCGTGAATATTGAGGCACTTGTCATAACGTGGCACCAGTTTTTCAATACCCTCCTGATAAAATTCTGCCGCCTGACTGGTTAACCACTGTATCACAACTGTTTTAACTTCGTTATCGTCTTGAAGACGCTGACCACCCAGGTGTTTCTTCAAGTGCAGGAATAAATGGTAGTCACTGGGCGCCAGATCAGGGCTGTATGGAGGATGATCTAGAGTTTCCCATTTAAAAGATTTGATGAGATCTTTGGTCCGATTAGACACATGTGGACGGGCATTGTCATGCAGCAATACAATACCCTTACTCAACTTGCCACGTCTTTTGTTTTGGATTGCACGGCGCAGATTGTTCAATGTCTCACAATAAGATGCTGCATTGATTGTCTCATTACGAGGCAGAAACTCCACTAGCAATACTCCTTTTCTGTCCCAAAAAACTGTGCACATGATTTTCCGGGCAGAAATTGTTTGCTTAAACTTCACTGTTTTGGGTGATGATGAATGTCGCCTTTCCATGGACTGTTGTTTCGATTCTGGTGTGACGTAGGCCACCCATGTTTCGTCACCAGTAACAATTTTGTCTAAAAAATCTTCACCTTCATTGTGGTACTGCTCAAGGAAAGTCAATGCACTGCCTAAACGTTGGGTTTTGTGCAAATCCGTCAACATTTTCGGAACCCAACGTGAACACAATTTCCGGTAATTCAAGTTCTCGGTCACAATGCGATACAAAACACTACGAGAACATTGAGGAAAGTAGTCGCACAATGATGAAATTGTAAAGCGTCTGTTTTCTTTCACCTTTTCGTCCACTTTCTGCACCAAATCTTCATTAACGACCGAAGGACGCCCACTCCGTTCTTCATCATGCACATTTGTGCGGCCATCTTTAAATGTTCTCACCCATTTCCTTACCATTCCATCACTCATAATGTTTTGTCCGTAAACTTCACAGATCTCACGATGAATATCGATCGGTTTTACGCCTTTAGCACTAAGAAATCGTATGACAGCCCGTACTTCACAATCGGCGGGGCTCACGATTGTCGGAGGCATCTTAAACACTCAATAAACAACGTATACAATGAAGAATCAGACTGTACTGGCGTCTGTGCATAGACAAGATATGTAGGTAACCAGCGCGCCTGCGCGGAACGCCGACCGTAGCGCTGCGGCGGCGGAATCGCAAAACGATACTTACTTAAAAAACATGCCTCGTATAATATTATTTTAATGTTAAGTCGATGTTGAGTCGATAGACTATGGTAACTTGTCTTTTAATTTGTACATAATATGTTGTAGAATATACACACATATATACATTCAATTTCTTCGGCAGTTTGATTTCGGAAAAGGCCAATATTGACTCTGAAATTCAGCACAGGATTAGCAGCACCTCAAGAGCTTTCTGGAAATTAAAAGACAGTGTTTTCTAGAGTCATGACTTGAGTACAAAAACGAAACTCGCAGTGTACCGAGCAATTATAATCGCCTCCATGTTATATGGGAGCGAAACCTGGGAAATCCTACCGCCGGGAATCCGAACGCATTAAAAAAGTTGCAACAGAGACACCTTAGACACCTCTTAAGAATCCAGTGGTTCCCTCATGTCTCAAACGTATCGGTCCTTGAAAAAGTTAAATGCGAAAGAATTGGAGTCATTGTTACAAAATCCCGCTTAAGACGGGCTGGTGACGTATGCAGAATGCAAGAAAACCGCATACCAAAATCTCTGCTTTACGGTGGTACGCATACGGAAAAGGTACAAGGAAAGTTTATTTCTCTGACACAAGAATTAATTCGGAAAAGTAATGTACAGGGTGGGTCAAATTCGACGCTTTTAAATGGAAACACCCTTTTCTATAGGAGATAGACGAAAACTAATATCGGTGTGTGGAGCTCAATTTTCATCAAAAACATGATGGTGCAAACCGCACATCGATATCTGTTACCGTTTCGGAGTTGTGTTTTTCAAAATGGTGTTTTTCAAAAATGTGCATTTTTAACAAATCGCTGTAACTTTTTTGCTATGAAAAATTTTGTATTTCTATGAAAACATGAATTTAATGGTTTAAGTATAATTTTTTTTAAATTAATAATTTAAGAGTTATTAACAGAAAAATTGATTTTTTATTTGGGACACCCTCTATATTTTTAATTAACTGAAAAGAATCTAAAATTACCTTTCCAAAAATATAGCACACTTGATATTTTGTTATAATCCCCTTCGAAATACAGAATTTTTAAAAGTTCGCCACTTTTAACTAGTAGGCTTTGGACCCCTTATTGATGATATGCCCTTAATGGAACTCGAAAACATTATATTTCCAGCAAGACGACGCACCGCCTCTGAACGCCGAAGTTACCAGCAAATTTTTGCAGCCAATTTCAAGAATAATTGAATAGCTAAACAAGATCCCAGCCATTGGCCGTCGAGGCCGCCTAACTTAGTGCCCATGGATATAATCCTATGGATATATTTGCGGAAGAATAAAGGTTTCTTATTTTTCCATATAATCTAGACAATAATTAAAAATACTTAGCAGTTATGAGGGGGTATCTTTCACCTCTACCGAGTTAATGAATTCCGCGAGAAATGTTCAAAAACTGACCCGTCTGTCCATAACAGAAGACGGTCGATATGTCGAACACCTGTAGCAAAATCTCATGTCTTGGTTTGCTATTTATTTTTATTGTTATTAGATATAGTTTAAATGTGTTGATGTTGTTTAAATATATTTTAAATTGTTATAAAATTCTGCATCTCTCATAGCAAATATTATTTTCGTTTTAATTGATGCTCACAGCTAGAATGTTTTTGCATTACAGCCGGTGCCGTTCAAAGCCTACTTATTTAAAGAGGGCGAATTTTTATATACTCTATATCTCGAAGGGGAATTGAGCAAAATATCAAGTGTGTTATATTTTTGGAAAGCTAATTTTAAATTCTTTTCAAGAAATTAAAAATATACAGGGTGTCCCATATAAAAATTCAAATTTTCTGTTGATAATTCTTAAATTATTAATTTTAAAAAAATTATACTTAAACCATTAAATTCTACGTAAAAAGGTGCTTTGGAAATGTTTTCATAAAAAAACAAAATTTTCCATAGCAAAAAAGTTACAGCGATTTGTTAAAAATGCATATTTTTGAAAAACACTCCGTAACTCCGAAACGGTAAGAGATATCGATATGCGGTTTTCACCATCATGTTTTTGACAAAAATTAAGCTCCAGACACCGATATTAGTTTTTGTCTATCTCCTATAGTAAAGGGTGTTTCCATTTAAAAGCGTCGAATTTGACCCACCCTGTACACGATGTTAACAAACTTTTTATTATAGCATACATATTTAAATATCTTTAAATATTTTTAGTAAAGTTTATTTCTCTGGTTTCAAAGCCAGAATAGTTGTAGCTATACGATTAGATTTTTACAAATTGTAAGTTTTGGGTTCGTTGAAAGACTAGAGCTAAAATTTAGAAATATTTTTACAGCATATTTTTATAATATAAGATACAGAGTGTCCCAAATAAGTAAAAAATATTATAGTTGTATTTTTTTAAATAGACCCTGTATATTATTCTATTTTTAGATTCTACAATTGAAATAAAGGTAAATTTGATTGAGGTTTATCGCACTTAAACCTTACCGTTTTTGAAATATTTTCAATTTTATGAAATTGCAGTAAAAATTTTAAAGCTTCGTTAAATGAAAAAATAGCCATGAGAGAGAGAGAGAGAGAGAGAGAGAGAGAGAAATGTAACAAATTTTCAAATAGTACAGATACATGATGATATTAGTATTTATTTCATTAAAAAATAAAAAAAAAATAAATATTTTTTGTTAAAGACGACTAGTTAACATGATCACAGTATTCAAACTAGATTAATTGACTGTTTACGTTGATTAGTAATAATTGCTGCAAATACAAAAAAACTCAATTTTGTATGTGTATTAGACAGTGTGGTAAAAAGTAACACTTTTATTGATTTCTGATTCAAATCCAGATTTATTTAGAATAATTTTTTAACTAAAACAATTAAGTATCTAATTAACTAATTTTTGGGCGGAAATATAGGTGGTGTATTTAATTGATAATACTCTTTTAGAAAGATTTAAATAGTTTTATTTTTGTAAACAAATGGGCTTGCAATATTATTATTTTTAACACCTGTACATTTTGTACATATGTTGCTTTAAAAAAATTTAATACGTCAATATTCAAAGAGTATAGTCACAAACCAATAACTAATAAACTCATAATAATTGTTTAATTTACTGTTTCATGGTAAATAAAATAACTTAAACGTTTTAATTTTTTTTCTCTAATATTAAAATAAATGATCCAGTCTCTGGGTTGTTTAATTTAAGCGGTAAAAAGTCCAATTTTCAAAAAGTCAACTCAGAAAGTGTTTTTACCTTTAATATTATTTTCTTTATATTCAACTGACGAGTAATTTAATACACATTTCCTACAATTCCAAAAGAATGGCGTACACCGGGACAAAATAATAATTCTTTTAGACGCTTATAGGATTATTTTCTCCCCTTTATAAATTATAATTTATATTGAGTTTACGCTTCCCAGGAATATTTTATTAAATAACATGAAAGCAATATTTAAGTATATAGCATGGCAACAGTTACTTTGTCTTCTAATTAAACGCGTTTGTTGAATACTTATATATTTTTGTATTTTATAAACTTTGTCGCGCCATTCATTAGGGGTGTCTAATGGCTTTTATTTCTTAGTGAATTAATATAAGCTTATATCCTCTAGGTCATGCTAACTATAAGTAGAATCGTAACTCCCTCTACATTTTTTGGTAACAACCATGAAGTACAATAAAGATTTTGAGTAATAATATAAAATGAATATGGACACTCATCTAACCACTCTAATAATTTATTTACATCAATAATGCCACAATTGTCTAGGGTTACCAACCGTCCTCTATTCCAGAGGACAGTCCTCTTTTTGATCTCACTGTCCTCTTTTCTCTCACGTATTGAAAAAGTCCTCTTTTTTACATACCAAACTCAAAATCTAAAGAATATTCGTCTATGGCAACAATGCTTTAAAAAATTGGTTAATCTGTGTCTTTCGCTACTCCCACTCGTTTGGACGGAAAAGAAAATAAAGAAATATTTATGTGCAAGAAATATTTACTGTTCGCCTTACTGTTTCGAAAAAAAAAAGTTTTGTTAAAAATGGTTTGTTTTATTTTAACAAGTCTTGAGTATAAACAGTGGCGGCTCGTGGGTAAAAAATTAGGTGAAGAGTTAATTTTTTTTAAAAATTTTTTTTGGCGCATTCACTATTTTGTCAACATTTTTAAAAATATTATTTGAAAAATTTTTGCTGCATTCAAACTTGAAGAAGACCAAGATAATGAGCAACAATATCCATAACATTACCGTTGACAACGTTAATTCTTCTGTAGCTACGGGGTATCCGTGAGAGGGGAAACGATATTCTCTCAATGTTTTTTTTTTAATTAGACGACGCGTCCCTCAATAAAAATTCGACAAATTTGCAAGTGGCCAATAAAATACTCGTCAAGTCGACGTATAAAATATATTGCTGTTTATTTAAATGTTTTTTGTCCGCATTCCTTTCGTAGACACAAATCCAGCAGACGTATTTAGGTCATAAAATCAAGCTGGGCAAGGAAAACCAAAATACGGAGATCAAACGCAGGATCCATTTGGCATGGGTAGCATTTGGAAATATGAGCAATATTTTCAAGGATAAAAAGGTGCCCATGAACCTAAAGAAAAAGGCTTACGACAGCTGCATTCTACCTGTGCTTACGTATGGCTTAGAGACTATGGCAATTACCCGAAAAACAGCAGAACAACTACGAGTAGCACAAAGAGCCATGGAAAGAATCATGTTGGGAGTCACCATTAGGGAAAAAATACGGAATACCCACATACGTCAAAAAACAAAATTAATAGATGTCGTTAAAAGAGTGGCAAGTCTGAAGTGGCAATGGATAGGACATGTGGCAAGACAGGATCTAGACCGATGGCCCCAAAAAGTAATCCTATGGAGACCTAGGGGAACAACAAGAAGTGTGGGCCGACCGAAAAAGAGATGGGTTGATGACGTTAGGGCAGTGGCGGGAAGACAATGGAGAAGATTGGCTAGAGATCGCGAAGCATGGAAAAACCTAGAAGAGGCCTATATCCAACACTGGATGGAACCAGGCTGAGAAAGAAGAAGAGCTGACATATTAAATGTTATGCAGAACCTGTGTTTATGCAAAGATCTTGTTATATTTACGAAATCAGTGAACCCTTCTTTATTCCAAATGCCATGTTTATTAGAAAATATAGTAAACGCGACCAACAAAATAATTTTGGTAAAACAATACTACTATAGCCAATTAAAATCAGAAAACCGGGAAGACTTAAATCGAGACTTAAATTTAATATTTAAAGATTTACCACTTTTTTAAATAACAACAACAACTTTACCGTCTTTACACGGTTAATTACTCGCCGAAGTAGCCGAATATTAGCATAAATGCATAAATTATGCGCCGCCGTCACGCATTTCCTAAACAAAAGGAAGACAAAGAGAACTGCCCAAAACACTTGTGTCTAGCCCCAGCAGGCAACTATTAAACCCGACCAATCACGTTAGTGTTTTTGACCAAACACAACTGAATTAACACGCTCCCAATAAACACACTAACCTAAATCTTTACACTTTACTTTATTTAACAATATATTTCATGAAGTAAATTTAAAAACATTAACATTTTTAAAATTTAATTTAGAACAACATCTTTGAATTTAAATTATAAAAATAGTTCTAGACTAGATGATTTTATAATATTTCCTGGTATGACATCCCTGCAAACATTCATAGTCGTAGCACTATTACGTAGCACGTTGGAAAAGAACATTCCATAAGGCAAGACGTGGAATTTAATACGACACATACTTCCGAGGCTGTATTAATTGTTTTCCAGCACGTCATTCCACATTTTATTACCGCTGTAATGGAGAAATTGCAACACTGCATTACGCGATTATTTCCTAAGATATAATTATTTTAGTCGCGTGTTTCGTATCGGTGTCTGCGGGTTCTGTTTCTGTTTTTAGTATATCGTTTTGAAATTGAAATATAAACGTTGGGCAGTGAGTCACTGAAATACCTGGAGCGATATTTTAGCAAATTGAATCAAATCCATAAAGTTGAGCATAGAATTTTTTTAGGTTTATTTTCTCTATGCCCAAATAACAAATTTTGTCAAATATGTATACAAATTTTGTAGATTGTATTGCATGTCCAGATAAGGCTGTTTTGGACGAATTATACCTAGCTACAATCGGATTCTCCTTATAATATTGGTATTATTAAATGCTATTTTGAGGTCTATACAATATGTCCCCGAATTGTATTTACAAGAGAAAAAAAAAACGTTTTTTATTAATGACATTTTGAGAAAAATGCATTCTTCATAAAATTTTTGCTTGTTCTAAAATGTTTAATCCCGTTTATTTCCAAATTTTCATTCCGTTTTAGAGAAAATTGGAGAAAATTACAAAAAACTCGAAAATCTGGTTGAATTTTTCATGTCCTAGAAATTAAAAGGCATTTCTATGGTAATACAATTTTGATTGCATTTTATCATGATTTATCCATTATACTAACCTATATCTATCATTTTTAGAGATAATAAATAAAACGTGTAAAACTGACAAAAATATGGTCATGAATAAGCGTAGGTAACATTATGAAATAACATACAGGGGGCTGGCATTACATTTTTTTAATTTGCCAGAAACTTATGACGGACTCTGTATACTTAAAGTTACTACTTGCTAATAGACAATTAAAAACCTTATAACTTTTGCATTTACGTTTTTGGGGTACGTTAAATATTTTATCTAATAAATATTAGATAGCCGTTCCAATGCATATCAGCGACCCTGTATATAACAACTATATTATACAGGGTGCTACAAATTCGAGGTACGAGCATTGATATCTCGGTAACCGTAATAGATACAAGCATGGTTAAATTTGGGCAAAGTTGCGCTTTGGGATGTTCACCAAAAAAGTTTTAAAAATTTTAAAGATTGCTGAGTTTTTTGGAAAAAACGGATTTTTTTGTAAATGAATTTTATTTTTTTCTGTCGTTATTTTTTAGAAAATTAAAAAACTAATTGCACATTCTCATAGCCACTTTATTAGTGCTATCTTATAGTATTTTTAGATTTTCAAATTAGCTGATAATTTATGAGATACATAGGCCAACTTAATTTTTTTAAATACGGACCTGCATTTTTTATTTCAGGTTTTGGAAGAACTCGGTCTCCTGAGTACAAAGATATGTCACATTTAATATTTCTTTTTCCCGTAAGATGGACTGGAAATGGTAGAGCAGTATAATGGGCATCGAGGTTCCTGGACCTGTCGCCGAGGGGGCGGGGGCATTACTTGCCGTCATTTGTAAAAATGAAATCAACACATCTCAGCATTTACAATAAAGAGTACAAAATGCATTTGGAAGTATAAGAAGATCAGTTCAAAAAGCTGTAAATAAAATTGAACGAAAAATAAACTTGAGCAATAGGAAGGGTGGTAACCCTTTCGAACATTAGAAACTAGTTTGTAGAAGTTAATATATTCATAATAACTTGTAACGTTTTCTTGATACAATGCAAACGGCAGCTTTTCGTCTTTGCGAGCAGTCGTAGGTTCGTTGTTTATTTTTTTATTAGGTGTTATAATTAATCAATAAAACAAAAATTATTGGGCGCCAGAACATTCACTCAGAAATAATAGATCAGTTTACCCCAACTTAAATATATTTATAATTAAAAAAAAAAATATTAGACAAGGACTATAATTGGTGGATGAAGTTAGGTTTTTTAAAATGAATTAATACTTAAGAATAATAAGTAATCAAAATAGTTAAAAAAATTATATTTTAACAATGAAATTCAAAAATATCTAATAATTACATAATTAATTACGCAATTCGTCAAGAGTAAATAGATTTGAAGTGACTTAATAAAAAAATTATGAAATCTGGCCTGATTATCCGGTGCAATTCTAGGCTTTGGTTCGTCCTTCTGGATGGTGTGTGGACGTTAGGTGTGGGAGCTCATCCCCAATCTACCACAGTCTCTAACCAAACCAAACCAAACCAGCCATGTGGAAATCAAACATGGATCATAGGTACTGGCTCTTGTACCTCAAACCACCAATTACAACATACATAATCTGGACATGTAACTGGAAAATTCATTTTAACAATTTTAGAACTTACCTCACGATGAGGGTTTACTCAAAAATTAAATTCATACTGACAGGACAACCAAAATCACGTTATAAAGTTGAACCAAAAGAGTAAAAATGTGATGAAGATCAAACTTACCACAAAAATACCCATGAAAACTAAAAATTGATTCCTTCCCCAAATGCCAGGAACCATTAGGACTACATTCTAAAGTTTAATAGAATAAAAAGGTTGAAATTTTTTCGGATGACTTCAGATAAGTATGTCGATGTTTAAGCCACGAAATCTGAATCCAAAATGGTGACTTCCGATAGTCAAAAAGATGCTCTAGTTCTGCGCCGACAATGACGAGTACGATCAACAGAGTATCCGAAATTAGTCAGAACTAATTCGGTAGGGTGTATTTTGGATTGCCAATAGTATCGTTTTATTAAAACGTTACAATTATTATTATGCAAATTATTGGATCGTACACACTGTGATTCGAAATTCACAATTAAAAATTTAAAAATAACATCTTTAAATTGCTGATCTGGATATTATTTATTTGACTCTTTTAATTGGCTCAATTTTCCTTATTCAATGTTATTTAGCGCCTGACCAATATTGTTGCGATGAATATAATCAGATTAAATAATTGAAAAAAAAACAGAGTCGGACTTAATTATTTTAAATAATAATTAAATAGTTTTGTTGCTGTTAAGGTACCCAAAACAAAAAAAAAGTATAAAGTGTGGCACATTATTATACTCAGGAGACCGATTTCTTTCAAAATCTGAAATAAAACTTGTATATAGAACAAAAACATTGTATAAAAAAAATTGTATATAGAACTATCTTGTTGTTAGATGTACCATATTATTTTACCTCATTATAAGATCATAATGCACTTAATATTGAAAAAAAAATTTATCCGAGTATATAGTACAAAACTTACGAGAGTTTTGCAGCAAGACTGAGACTGGACCCTGCAAGACCAAGATTACTATTATATCGCAAGTACACAAAGGTGTTTAATATTTTTGAAGGAATTATTTTTACTACAATTACAAAGTTATACTGTATCGAATGGACGTTAACTAACCTCAATTCTGTGTCCATAGTGGCCCCATTCTTTTTCGAGCTGCCTCTGGTGGTGGTGAATATCCTCGGGCTGTCGGGCGCTATGCTATCGGCTTGGCTGTGGGCATAGCCCGAATCGTTGTTGCCGTTCGGATCGCCCAGATTGTTGGGTGTCGCCAGGCTGGCCACCACGCTGGATATTCTGGAAAAAATACGGACCGTTGACAACGCCGCATCGGCCAGAAACAATAATAGCCGACAATTAATATCGGTTTCCTGGGTTCAGGGGTGGGGGGAGGGGGGGTTGTATGCTTACACATGCATATGTGCTGTAATTTTCGATTTATGTTTTTAGTATTGCCTCGTGTGCGTAGTCGATTTGGAGCGGTGAGGATTTATGTTATGTTACCCTGATTAAACTGAAAATTGGTCTCAATATAGTCCACATGGTTTGTTTTGTTTTATATGAATGTAAGAAGTAAGAAGTGTTATATGTGGTCAATTCTTTTGTATGGATGTGAGACGTGGACGACTAATAAAGAAACGATAAATAAAATCGAAGCATTCGAAATGTCGACATCTAAAAAAGTCATAAAAGTAAGTAAAAATCAGTTCTTTGACGCGTATAGTAAATTTAAACTGAATATTTGTATGTATCATATAATGGATATATTTATCTTATTCTTAGGTACCTACATTTTTAAATAAACACAATTAATCAAAAGAATGGGATATTTATATTATTAATCCATTTGTTATTGACCGATAAGCTAGAGATTTTCTTATATTGCGAGTAGTTCCATTTTTACACAAAGAATTTCGTCGAACAAGTAATCGATTTGAAAAGTTCTTATCAGAATGTCGTCGTCTAACAGCTAAAAGTATATCGGAACGTTTTAAATCCCCCCTTTTACACGTTTAAAGTTATAAAGATTTTGAGCTTTCAGTTGGTTATTGATGTCTACTGCAGTTTCCGGGATTATATATCTGGCACTAACTTTACCATTTCGTTGTTGAATTAGCAGGTATCGTAAACAGCATATATATTATGTCAATAATATCAGTGACATTTCTGAAAGTCCAGTAATATTCTATTGAAAAGCTTATTTCATTTTTTTGAGAGAAGTTTTTTTGGAAATACAGCGATTAAAATAAAGAATATCCATGAATTTGTTGTTTTTTATCTTTGATTATTTAGAAATTTTGACAAAAATTTTGAAATAAATAAAGATAATGGGAACCAAAATTCTTTTAGTAAAAATAATGAATCATTGTCTACTACAATCAAAAAAACTTTAGGTAACTTTGTTGATTATGTAAATATTTATTGAAGTAGCGAGTATATCGGGTCTCATTTGTTATTTATTCGGTATCATTTCTGACCTTAGGTGCCGATTATATTGCCGATATCGTGTGTACGAAGAGTATAAAGAAAGAAGAGCAAGTACTTTTGCAAACGCATGAAATTTAGCATCAGTAGAAGTAGACTTCGTATTTTTCTCACTTCGACTTACTAGATCGCCATAGGGATTCTCTCCTAGACATGTAAACACTGATCCAAGACTTCGCTTGCCAGTACACAGTACAACAAATTAGTAGTTAAAATTTATAATTACTAGCCAAAACCCAAATCATCTTTTACAGCATCAATCAACTTACTGTGTTATTTAATCAGGTATACGAAACTGGTCATATTCCAGCAGACTGGCTAAAATCTGTCTGCATTCCTTTGCCTAAAGAACCAAATGCTAAAAAATGTTCAGACTGTTGTATTCTTATCAGTCTAATGAGTCATGTACTCAAACTATTTCTACACATTCTCCAAAAATAAATCAGCAACAAGTGCGAGGAGTTCAGAGCAATTTGGGTTCAGAAGATGCATGGGAACCAGGGAAGCACTATATACGATGGAAATGCTTCTGCAGAGGTGTTGGGAAGTACGAAGACCTGTATACCTATGCTTTACTGTTTTTGAAAAAGCCTTCGATAATGTCCAGCATAATAAGCTAATATGAAGTCTGCAGAATATTCAGTTAGATGACAAAGATATTATGCTGATTTCGCATTTGTATTGGAACCAAACAACTACTATTACCGTGAATAACAGAGAATCTAGACCTATTAAAATTAAACAGGACGTGAGACAGGGGTGCATACTCTCTCCCACCCTCCTCAACGTTTTTTTAGAAAACATTTTTAGAGAATCCCTAAGTGGCTAAAAAGGAATTGTAATAGGAGGCGAAATAGTCAATAATATCAGATATGCCGACGATACCGTAATTATAGCAGAAAATCTCGTAGATCCACAAGAATTAGTAAACAGAATCAATGAAACTTGTAAGAACTGGGGGCTATCTATTAATAAAAGTTAAAATAAATATGTGGTTGTGACTAAAGTAAGTCAGCGAAAGCACACTTTTGTTGAATGAATCAACGTTGGAGAGAGTGGCGAAGTTGAAATACCTAGGCTGTTGGATTAATCAACACATCGATCTTTCATACGAAATCATGTCGCGTAGATCAAGCAAGAAATGCATTTTAGAAGTTTAAGTTGTTGCTCTCAAATAGTTTACTAAATATCAAAATAGGAGAGAAGTTTACAAAGTGTTATATGTGGTCAATTCTTGTGTATGGATGTGAGCCATGGACGTTTAATAAATAAACGGTAAATAAAATCGAAACAATCGAAATATGGATATCTGAATGTGGAGCGATACAGAGATATTGTTAATATGGCAGTCGTCCACGTCCACTTGACACTTGAAGAAGAAGACAGCATCAATTGTCTATTGTAAATCGTCTATTGAAAAAGGATTTTTACACATTATTGAGGTTCAAAAGTTACTATTTGTTGTCTATCGTTAGAATCGCCATGAATTTGTCTATTTAGATCAGCAAAAATATAATATAGCGCATATAAGAAAACATAAAGTTGACGATGGTGGTCAACAGACAAAACGTCGTATGACAAATCTGAAATCACTGTTGATTATCTGAAAAAAGTGGCAATAATAATTATGTTTTTAGTTTTTGGCTAGCTTGTCAAATAACGTCAGAAAAAATAAAATGGAATTCTTGAAATTTCGTTTTTTTTTCGAAACTACTCCGAATATTTAAATGTTTATAAACGACATATTATTTGGTACAGTAATACACAACTTTGATCTACATTAACAATCCTCGTATATTACATTAGATCTCGAGATACCAATGGTGGGGTTCGTACTTGAATTACACTGCATATAAACTTCTAAATGATATTATACTTATCGAGGCTGATAGAATTTCTATCGAGGGTTATGTATACTATCTAAATTTTGAGTTTCTATTTGGTGTTAATATAAACAAGTGCATGAAAAGGTATCTATTGGGGGGAGCTAAAACACTTACATTTTGTCGTAATTTGAGTCTTTTCGTTGTAAAACGCTAAAAGAAAAAATGGATCTGAGTTGAAGAAATGTATTATAGAATAAAATTTACAAAGTCAGTTGAATAAAAGTGATGTGATCAATTCATTTGGCTTTTGTAAACGCACCTTAACTCTGTTATTGACATTGATACGTCAAAATATTTAAAACTAAAATAAACGCAAAGTTTATACAATGGCGTGTTACAGTCTATGAACATTGATTAATTGCTGTATTGCTATCTTTCCAAATTGATGGAATTACACATTTCCAACAGAACAGTAAAATTAATAAACAATAAATTTTCTTAGATTATAAGGCCTTGTTTACAATTAATTACCATAGAAATTGTAGTTCAACTCAAAGAGTCGGTAGATAAAATCAGATAATATTCAAAGAGCGATTAAATTGTGCTTATATTACTATTGATCTGGTGTTTTCGAATACAGAAACGTGACACCGCACTTTTATGCTTGGTATATTTGATATTTATTTAAATGATTTGTATTTTGGTGTATTTTAATTTTTAGTTTTTATTTTATTTATTGTAAACTTACACAGTTTCTTTTTTTCGCCCGTAGTTTTAGAAGAGCTTCGCTGTACAATTAATACCATCAAAAATAAATCCTCTTGTGGGACCGACGGGCTAACTTTAAAAATGTTTTCGAATCTGCCAGAAAGCACTCTGAATCACCTAATAACTTTAATAAACATGTCGTTCCAAAATGGTATTTTTCCAAGATGTCTTAAGACGGCAATAATCTTTCCTCTGCATAAAGGAGGAGACAAAGATGAAGCTTCTAACTATCGCCCAATTGCACTCCTTCCAACGCTATCTAAGATCATAGAAAGGTTGGTTAAAAGAAGGCTGGTATATTTTCTGTTTAAGTACAAAATACTTACTGAATATCAATTTGGATTTCTAAGCAACAAGTCCACAAATGACGTTATGTTTTCCCTCCTTAATAAAGTTTACTCCAGTCTAAACAACCATCATTCTACAGCAACAATTTACTGATTTTTCTAAGGCGTTCGATTGTGTAAATCATAAGATCTTAATTAATAAACTGCGGCACTATGGGTTCAGGGGATCATCTCTTGAATGGTTTAAATCTGAGCAGAAAGAAAGAAAGAAAGAAATTGCTTTATTGTCATAAAAAATTTTACAATTTTGTTGACAAAGCTTAAAAAAAAAGAATATAAAAAACATACAAAACTTCACTTAACAATAGAAAAACATATAAAACTAACAGCAGACATACAAAACTAAAACAATACTTTATACAATTATAGAAATTGTACATTGTCAAAAATTTATTTAATTAAATATAAATAAAATATAAACATACATGTAAATAAACAACTGTATATAATGTGCAATACTAAATTTAAATGGATAGAAAACAAAATCATTTCTTAAATTTAGTGAATGTGTGTTAAATTTAGAACCCTAGATATTAATAAAAAAATTGTTAACCGCGTAAAAGGCTTTCTCCAGTAAGTATGATCTCAAGGCTCTGCGAAATGCAGGAAAGGATGAAATGGAATTAATTTCAGTCAAATCTGTAAAGTTCTTGGGGCTTTTGTGGACAATTCTCTGAAATGGGACATACATATCGAAGCTTTGTCGAAAAAATTGAGCTCTGCCTGTTTTGCATTAAGGTCTGTTTATAAGGAGCTTAACTTGTCAGTGGCTAGAACTGTTTATTATGCACTTTTTGAGTCGCACCTCAGGTATGAACTTCCATTCTGGGGTACGTGTTGTGCGACTCAATTTGACCGCATTTTCAGGCTCCAGAAAAGAGCTGTTCGATATTCACTGGGACTAAACAGCAGAACTCATTGCCGGGACTTTTTTAAAAAATTAAAAATATTGACTCTTCCTTCCTTATTTATATTTGAATCCGTTTGCCTAATACGTAAACATGTATCAGCTTCTCAAGAAAGGCCATCTCAAACTTATCCACTCAGGAACGCGGAGCAAGATCTTTATCTATCTACCCCACGCTCAGAGTTAGTTAAAAGTTCAATATTATACAACTCGAAAAAAATGCACAATCACCTGCCATTTGAAATCAAATCCATAACATCATTTTTTCATTTCGCAAAGCATTGAAATCTTATTTACTAGACAAGGCTTTCTACGCCGTAAATGAATTATATTTTGAAAATCAAATTTGATCTTGTAAACACTGGTCTAATGTTTGCTATTGCTATATTTACTAATGACATCGAAATGAATTTATTTAGAGGTCATTGATATTTTACTATAAACTAGCTAAATATTTTTGAATATTATTTTTATTTTTTGTTCTTTGACATTATAAACATTTATAAATGTTTATTTTAACAATAAGACTGACAATATTATTTGTATAATGTTTTGTATTATCTTTTGTTTGTTTGTTTGTGTACCTTGTTTTTTTTACTTTGTTTGTTAGTTTACCTTTGTCTACAAATTGAAAAATTTTTTGACAATAAAGGCATTTATTTATTTATTTATTTATCTATTTATTTAGTTCTTTAATATTTGATACTTTCGCAGGTTTTTTATTATTTTTATTCGTATATTTTGCGTTATTCGGGATTAGAAATTTAGAAACTGTCTAATAACATTAAAATATTGATGAGATACCTATTTTACTTAGACAAATAAGAATATTATTTCTCCATAATTTTCTTTTATCTGATACGCATTTCTTTAATAAGAATTATTTCGAAATTTTTAAATTTTACTCTAAATGTACTATTTTCCAAAGCAGCAGTATGAGTTATTGAACTGTAAGTGTCGATAGATTTCACACTCATGGAACAACAGCACGACAGAGTTCCCAGACGGGTGATCGTCCATCCACTCGCATCGTCTAACGTCGCTTAACTTCGCCTAATCTCTTTTGGAAATCACTGTTTCGATGTAGCTGGGCCGTTGTTACTTGAGTTTATTTCAGTTTTAAATATATTAGCAAGATCAAAGATAGAGGACTTTCACACGAACCCACTTGTATCCACCACCGGTGTTCAGAAACGTGATTATATACAGACGAACCCACTACGCGAACCACGCTGTCTTTAGTCGCATAGCAGTCGCTGTCTATCGTCACAAGCCCGACCACTCAACACTGTTCTAGTTTTAGCAGTACAGGGTGTCCCATTTTGGTTGGGTTATGTCCTTCGGTATTTTCGTTATCATTGAAGATAAGACGATGCGGTTTGTACAAACCTGTCCTACTTTTGGTCAAACGGAAGATGCTATAAACAAAATTTTCATAACCCTTTTCGTTTCTGAGCTACAGGGTATTTTCGAAAATTTTGCAATTTGAGACAGTATCCCCGTATCCCCGTTATGTGAAAAGTTTCCTAGAATCCGAAAATCAATTAATATATTCCATTAGAAAAAACACAACTTTGATGTGTAACTTTTTTGGGGGACACCCTGTATAATTCTATATAGTTTTATAAACTGCTTTCAGTTAATCTACATATGCTGTCAAAATTTCAATTCGATATAAACTACCGTTCTCCTTGGAGCTTCCGCGGCGTAAGAAAGGCGCCACAGCGTTTACCGATATTATTATGTGACACGCTTTACAAAAAAATAATTTTTGCAGTCATAATTAGACCGGCGCGGCGTTTTGCTAAAATTCAAGAAAAATCTCTAGATATTTTTCTTTTCGCCATAAATAAAGCAGCTGGGCTACAAATTACTTATTAAAGTATTTTTTTCTATTTATGGCCGCTATATCCCTATATCTCGATCCACTGTGCGCCACCCTGTATCCTGTATGTATCGTGGATATTCGTATAGTACGGGATATTCTCGATTTAATTTTGTGTTCTAATTTGTGTGAGCCACCGGTGTCAATAGGCGTAACTGAGAGCGGACACTGGTGTAGGATACAAATGGCTGTGAAAGTGTCTTGGCGTTTGAAAGTGCACTTACGCTGCTTCCTCCACCACGGTTGCCAGGATGAATTCGGTGCTCCTGTCATTGGATATGACTTGACATTCCGCCTCCACGATGTCCTCGTCCTCGTCCGCAGATCCGGAGCCCGTATTTGTGGCCTGTTCCTCGATGGGCGTCGGGCCAAGATGGGTCTCGGCCAGTCGCCGAGTATTGGAAGTGTTCTCTATCACGGACCCGGTCTTGAGCTCGCTGACCATCGGCTTGCGGGTGGCTCGCTGTTGCATTGCTCGCGATCGCAGAGCCTGGAAACGAAATTGAAATAATTTACAATAGCGTGTCATAGATATCGGTTTACCATAATTTGCAATCTTGTTTGATATATACAGGGCGAGTCAAAACTAAATGTTGTATTTTTCTCCTCTATTTTAAACGGAATACCCTGTATTTTGTACCATAATCGAAGAACGTTTTGTTTTATTAAGTAATATTTTTGTTTTATTAAGCAATTCTTTAGATCTAAAATCGATAATTATTGAGAAAATACCCGGTCCATAGGTTCATAAGAACCAAAAACAAACGCTCGGGCCTCTGAAAAAAAGGCTTGTTCACGACTAGTATTTCCTATCGTAATGTATGGCTCCGAGTCCTGGAGGATGAGATCAGAATTGAAAAAAAATTGACAAAACTCAAATGTACTACAAGTGACGAATGCTCAGAATTCCCTGGACGGACCGACGAACCAATGAATTCATAATCGAAGAACTGAACATCACAGAAAGTCTCTCAACTTCTATACAGTCACGTATACTTAAATATTTCGGTAACGTTATGAAGAGGGATACTGACTGCATGGAAAGACTCATTATACAGGGCAAGATTCCAAGAAAAAGACCAAGAGGTCGCTCGCCCTCCTCATGGATAGACCAGCTATCAAGCTCTCCCACAAGCCACTGCACACGCTGGTACATGAAGTGCAAGACAGGGAATTATGGAGACACACACTACCACTACATTCCGCTTGTAGGAATAAAGGCAGAGATATATGATAGAGCAACATGGAGGGATCAGTCTCTAAATTACTAGACATTTTAAAAAAGATAGAAGTACTACGGGTAGCATTAACATCAGAAAAAGACAATATATCTGTAAGGTCGCAGTAAAACAGACCAGCAATCCACCTTAAAAATCTAATGTAAATAGGCATTAAAAAGAAATACATTAAAAATTGCTTTAAATAAAAAAAACGACGTTCAAAAAATATAAAACAGTTATTCAGAAATGTGTTCGAGCTATAATAACCTGACAAATTAATTCGGCACTGATTAATTAATGTTTTAAAGTTTAAACGTGGTTTTATCTAATTCTGAAAGGTACGCCTGAGAAAAAAGAGACGTCGCCCAACTTTTAATGCTTCCCAGCTGAAAATCCTATTCAGATTCGACGCCGGTTTCATTTAAATTGACTTGAGTCGCGCCAGAAACCAATATAACTTTATATTTCTAGCCCGTTTTCCCGGCCTTTCATTCACGATTTTTTATCCCATTCAATTCTGCACAGTAATTAATTTCCATTTCTTTCCTTTTACATCTTTTTCTGATACATCTGTTATTGATTAGATTTGAAATATTGCGGTAAATTTTAACGATTTTTCCTCGGATTTTTCCTACCAAGGCAAGGGGATCGTTAGTATCACCCACAAAAATCTAAAAACTAAAAAGTCATGTGTATTATGTGTATTACTAAAAAATTCCACTGAGTAAAGACAGGTTCATGCAGGGTCGCTTTTATGGAAATGGTCGATTATTAGGTAAAATATAGGAGGTACCACAAAAAGTTAAATATAAAAGTTATAGGGTTTATAAATATCTATTAGCGGGTAATAAATTTAAGTTTACAGGGTCGGTCATAAAGTCTTGGCACATCAAAGTTTCATTTTTTTTAAATGGAAGCCCCTGTATATTGTTGCATATTTCGGTTCTTCCTTCAATTCTAAGCAAATATCGAAATACACACAATGTACCTCAAAGCAACCGAGTTTCCGAGTTATTGACTTTTGAACATAATATCACTTAAACCATTTGATTTAATTAATATCGATATGTTCAGTTTCGTTTAATGATGTCATTCTGGCGAAACTGTGATACTGTTGTAATGGGGTTTTAAATGCCTATTAGCACAGAATATCTAGCAAAGCTACAGTAAAAAATCCCCGAAATGAAAGAGCTAAAAAAAACTTTCGGTTTTGGATCGACGACACGTCGACGGCCTTGAAGCTCGGCTAAATATGCACAGTTGCCAGATTCAAAAAGACTTTAATTGGCATCCCATTCTTTTTCTGATGTATAATAATTTCTTTCTATTCTCCTTTTCTTATCAGACACACATATATCTGCTTAATATGGATATTCCATTAATTGTAATTGTATTTTTTTCAGACATTGCGAATGATCCTAACTTCATAAGTATAAAGTAAAACTGGAAATAGTAAGTTATTCGACTAATTTCCAAGTTCCAAATGAAACTTTAATGTTCAAAAATAGAATCCAATATATTTTTTTTAGGAAAATCCATTAACCAAGTACAAATTTTGATATTTAATTCCGAACAACTAAAAAAGGAATCCGGTAATGATTTCCGAACTCTCCGAAATTAAATAGGACATTAATAAATAATAGGAAAGCCATTAAATCGAGGAATTTTCAGTTCGGCTTTACGACAAGAGAACGATAAAAAGGAAAGTGGCTCTGACTTACCCCGATGGATATTATAGCCGTCAAAGACCATAACAATAAAAAAGAGAGAGATAAAAAACGGAGAAACGATTCTAAAAATATAATAAAATCGCTGCGATGAAAAGGAAAACAGATAAACAGAATAATTTAATTAGATAATTGGCTTTCCTTTGTATTTTTACTCCCTCAATTCTCTAAAAAATCTATAATAAAACACAGTACCTACTAATTACTTCTTTGAATATGGTAGACAATGGTTCAGCATTGAAAGTAAAAGATTTTAGAATTTCCCTTGTCTTTATTTATTTTGATTAAGACAACGTTTCTGTCAGGAGGATCATTGACCATTATCAAAAAAAGTGTGCAAACTAATCTACTTTCTAAAACTATTGAGCTTTTATACTACAGCCAGGTATTCACCTGTGAAGAAGTTGGGTGTAGTCAACCTGTGTGCGTTCTAGTTGCAAAAACGTTGCAGCAATTACAAGAAATGTTAAACACAACATATACCTGGGCATACGCAACGTCAACGTCGCAATGGCAACGTCGCAGGTCAAGTGTTAATGTGAATTAGAATTTTATCCGTTAAATATATTCAAAAAGTGGAGTTATCTATGAAATAAATTAGAAAATTCAAATTACAAGTTATAAAGTATATTAAGATAGAATGGGTGAGTGAAAATCAGTTGATTCAGACTTCACTAAAAATAGTATTTGAATATCTCTAAAATACTATCACATAGAACAATTTAAAGAATTTGCAATATTTAGCAAGCAACCTTACAAGCCATCCCAACGGTGTTGTCAAGTGTCTCAAAATTTACTGCTGTTTATCGATAAAATGACCCAAGAAATTAAATTAGGGGATTTATACACGCTCTTGAATAATATTAACGAAAATGTTTGCAATAAAATTGATAACATTAAGACAGACTTAGATAATCTCAGCTCTAAAGTTGATAAGCAGTTTTTTTTCCTTCAAAGGAAAATTGAAGTATTAGAAACAGAAAATAAGGAATTAAAACATCAAGTATATATTACACAAAAACTTTTAAAGAAAAACAATTTGATAATATATGGAATGCCAGAGAGAAATAGTGAACATCTTGTGGAATCCATAATAGATCTTGTAAAAGAAAAACTCGATATAAATTTGAAGATAGAAGATTTATCGGAGTGTTTTAGACTTGGAAAAAATATAACCAAAGATCGACCTATCCTTATAAGCTTAGTGTCTTGTTTAAAAAGGACGGAACTCCTTAAAAATAAGGGAAAACTCAGAGGAACAAATATATTTATAGACGAAGATTTAGTAGCAGAAGACAGAGTGAACAAAAAGGTTTTAGTCGAAAAATTGAAAGAAGCAAAAGCTCAAAACAGAAACGCTAAGCTAAAAGGAAATAAGTTAGTAATTGATGGTATTAGTTATACTAGTGGCCAGTTTAAAGAAAAGTATCACCAAGAAGCATCCGGATCCAGAACTTTGTCATTTCTCCAAGAAATGAATCCATACAATAATTATCCACAATCGCAGACTGAGGTAGAAAAACTGCAAAGTCAAAAAACTGGAAAATTACTAAATCATAATAATATTGGAAATAGCGAAGATCTGATACGAGAGAAGATATACCGGGTTCCGAAAGAAAACGTAAGGTGCAAGACATATCTAATATATTTCCTGAAACGAACGTGAAACGAGCACCTCCGTATCGGACGCGAGCGAATTCCAACAAATCTTCATAAATTATTTTTTTGTGAAACCGTTGTAAAAAGATTAGGATATTTTTAACTATAGATTAAGATTAAGTAATATGTTTTTATTATTTATATTTTTTTTTGTTGATAATTATTCTGTGAATTATTTTTATTGAGTATTATAGAAAAATGTTAATAAAGATAGCAATAGCAAGTTATAGAAAAATAAGAAAAAATAAGTAGTGGTCAGAATTATATTATGGAAACGATTAACATATTATTTTTTATTCTCTATATTTCCCCACTTCATTCAAAGAGTCATTTTGAAAATATGAAAGATTGAAATTTGAAAAGTGCTTTTTGCAAGAAACGCATAAATTGAATTATTTAAAAAAAAACTTATCTTATTAATGAAGCAAATGCTGAAAATGTTGCCCGTCAACCTCCATACAGTAAAACAAATTATTTTCAATCCGTTCTAGAACATTCTGAAGAACTTGCGGGGTCACTTCGCGACAAACATCAATAATTCGTCTTCGCAGGTCTTCTAATGAGGCGGGTGGAGTGCTATACAGTTTACTTTTTATGTGTCCCCATAGAAAAAAGTTTAAAGGAGTCAAGTCGGGTGACCGGGGAGGCCACTCAATTGCACCCCTTTGTCTTATCCGCCGAACGGGAAAGTTATTGTTTAAATAATTACGCACATTTTGAGAGTAATGTGGAGGTGCACCGTCTTGTTGAAATATTAGTTCCACTTCAACGTATCCAGGATTGTTCTCTATGATGTCAATTAGGGCTGGGTCGATGGTATTTTCCAGTAAATCCAAGTACATATCACCTGTTAGATTTCCAGGACTCTCAATAGAATTTCTAAAAATACCAGCCCACACTTTCAATTGCTGAGGCTTTTGTGTGTGCACCTCGTGAAAAACCCTGGGGTTGTCCTCAGCCCAGTACCGACAGTTGTGCCGATTAACTACACCGTTCAAAAAGAAAGTACACTCTACCTAACCTGACAGTTCAACCTTGTGGCAAGTGAAAAAATGCGTAAACATCTAGAAATAATAAGAAAAAACAGCAAATTGGTCGAAGGAATTTATCCTTATCATTTACTCTGATAATGTTTAAATAAACTTTTCAAATTTCAATCCTTCATATTTTCTCAATGACTCGACTGATTTTCAAAAACAAAGCGGGAAAGTATAGAGAATAGACAGCCCTTTTCATTGCGGTACCACTTGACCCTCTTCTCATTTGAAAAAAATTGGGGATGACACCCCCGATTAGAGGGTTGAAGATTTTGCAATCATTTTTGGGACAAAAGTTGTCCCCCTCACAAACAAAATTGACGTGTTTTTGGATTTTCTGAAAAAAAATTACCCTGGCCGTTATGCCTTGCGAAACGGTTTCGATGGGCCACCCTGTATATATCGACGTTAGTTCAAAAATTATTTGGAAAAAATCGAAATATAAATGAAATTGCTACACCCTGTTATCACCGAAATTAAGTATTTTAGGACATAGTATTATATTTCGGTCCACCTAGTATATTTTTTACTTACTTTGAAGATGCTATAATAGAGGAAGACCATAATGATACATGGGATGTAAAACGAAGACAGACTGGAGAAAAGGATAAAATCACTGTTGAAGAAGAGGCAAGCGTCTGGTATCCTGTCGGGGGTGTTGTTCAGACCCAGAACGATTGGCGATCCTATTGCGGCCGATATCACCCAAACCATGGCTATTGTCAACCATATTCTTCTGTTATTCTTGTGTTTGGCATATTTGATTGGTTGCGTAACAGCAATATATCTGAAACAAAGTTTAGTGTAAGTATATTTGTTACAGATAAAGATGTAAACCGGCCTTTAACAGTATCTACCGGTCAAAATTCTACCGTATGATCGAAACGCAACGACGTTCGGCGTTAACGATGGCTATGAAATGAAGATCGCTGTCATTTTAAATGTAAAATTATATGGGGAATATCATTGACGTTCATTTCCAAGCCCACTGGACACCATTTTTTTTTTCATACGGTATATGTAGGGCAAATAAGGCGATAAGTCTTAATAAAGATTATAATTTTTGAGTTAAAAATCACAGGTGTACAAAATTAACCTTTTTGAAGTTTTTATTTTGAAAACTGATTTTAGATAATTTTGGTAGGCTGATTTCAAAAATTCTATACATTTATTTGTATCATGTCAGGTTTTTTTGCAAATATTAAAAGGAAAAGACGGTATTTCTAATAGTTATTTATGCTACTAGTGTGTTATTTTACATATAAGTCACGCTGGGAAATGCTAATTTTCTCAAGTGACTTATATGTTATAACACCATTCAAAATTTTATCCAAAATATAAAAAATGATGAACTTAATGCAGAGAATAAGCATATATGTAGGGTTTTTTGGCCCCTTTTTCCGCTACTCGTATTTTGTTAATTTTTATAAAAAGCATTCGTAAAAAATATATATCCTTCAAATCCTTCAATTTAATAGCTGTTAGTACGAAGTCTCACTTCAAATATGCGCACATAGTGCATACACATTTTTGTTGAAGAAATGAATCCGGCCACAGAGGTATACATATTTTTTAACCATTATTATCCATAGGCAGACATGTACAAAGTAAAATTAAAAACCATTGAATGATAATTAAAAAAGAATATTAGAATATTAAATTTATTAAATAAATATAGAGCAGAAAAAATTAAAATTGCATTTTTATATTAACCCTCTGGTACGGTACTGGCCAAAAAGTCGTCTTGTGTGTTATTTATCCTTATATTTTTTAGTTGTTGAATATTTATATATTAGTATTAGTTTTTATCAGTATTGGCAGTAGCTGCTTATAATTTTATTGCTCCAAAAAATATTTTCAATTGCTTTTTAAAATTTATTGCTATTTTACTCATCCAAAAAAAGTCAATTATTTTTGTTTATAAAGGGAAATAAAAACTATGTATAAATATTTATTAATCTTTATTAATGGCACGAATATGAAAAATATTTTATTGAAAACAAAGTTAGTAAAAATATAAAAAAAATATCGCAAATTGTTTTATTTAAAAAAATATTTGTTATTTTATTGCACTTGATAGTCATAAAACTTTTTGAGCTCTAAAACAAAAATACTCAATTTTTAACTGTATGGGTTTTGTAAAATAGTTGTTTGTTTATAAAGATACATTTATTTTGCGAAAAAAGAATTTTTAAGTGTTCTGTCATTATTTCGCTTGGTATTTTAAAAATATAATGTTTTACAATGTATTTTTTTTTAATTTTTCCAAAAAACATAACTCTCGTGATAAAAAGTCGAGTGGCTTTCACTATAACATAAGTTTTATAGAATAGGCCAGGCGACCTTACGAAAATTGTTCTCTGTATACCACCCGATTCAGAAATAAACGTACGCTTTGTAGGAAAATACGTATTTTATAGAAAACTTTCTAACCTAATTTAAAGTTAAGCAAACTTTACCAAGAACGTAGACGGTGGACAACAACTACAACATTAGTCCTACAAATACATTGCTTTAATAGTAAAAGTTTAGCCATTGTAAAGATATATTACTGGGTAATGTGAATACTTTAAAACCAGCTCGTGTAATTTTCTTTTCGCATAGTTTAGGATAAATAACAACATTTAAGAAAAGCTAATATACAAAATGTGTTTATTTTCTCATCTAATTTGATTGGTTTTGGAAATGTCACAAATGTATTAAATTATGCGACGTGTTTGACAATATAAAATAGTTATTTGTGTAACTAGTGCAAAAATAACATATTTGTTGCACTGCTCAGCTCTTTGCACTGCTCAGCTCTTTGCACTGCTCAGCTGTTTGCACTGCTCATGTTTTTGTACATGTTACACACAATATTTTTTTACGGTCGAATTGAAATTCTTATTTACATGTTTATTAAAAAGATAACAGTAATTCCCAGAATAATATTAACACTAACAGTGACATTATGAACAAATATTACTTTAACTTTTTTAATAAATTTTTTTTGAGTTCATTTTAATTTTAATGCCGCAGTTTGAAAAATTCACTAAGGTAATTGATGGACAAACTTCGTTTCCAATAGTCTTTTAAGTTTTATTTTCATCTCTGCTCGTGGAGTCTCGCGTTCTTGTTCTTTTCACTCTTTTACGAATTGTTGCTGTGAGCTGTCCAGCTACTTGGTTTACCTTCCAGAATTTGACAAGTTTTTTACAAAAATTGACACACGGCCTTCAATGACGGTCGCGATACGGCCATAACGCGCGAGCTAGCGAGAGGAAGTGAAAGTGATAGCGGCAGTGTTGCCACGGCACTATAATAAACTTGATACTGTACCAACCGTAATGTGTAGTAAATTTTCATGCATATTTTCATTTGTGAATAATGGTCTAGGTAAAGCATCTGATTCATTTGCCAACTCAGAATTAGAATTTGGAATTAGTAACTCGCATCTTCATTGGAGGACACCGTCATATTTACTTCAAACCAATAATCAACGAGAATATTCGTATAATTTAATAACATTACTGTAAATCACTATAAATAGTGAATTATTTGTAATTCAGCAGTAATTTCTGTATTATTAATCCGGTAAATGATGGAGATAAACAATTGTGATTTATTAAAGTTTTATTTTAAGATGAAACTTTTGTTACCAACGTTTTGTGAATTTCAATAATGAATTGAATAATGACAAGTGACATCTTCGATTATGCAAAATAAATACATATTCTATAAGTTTACTGGTCGCCTAACGATATTAACATTAATTTAAAAATAAATCAACGTTTAAACAAAAACAGGCCACAGACCACACAAAACAAATTGTTTGTTAGTAGGCAGTTAGTAGTAGTCACAAAGATACATGTAGAGAATTATCGTTTTTTAATAAAAATTAAAAAAATATTATATAAATTATTAAAAACATTATAAAATTATAAAGCTAGAATAGTATACTATTAATTACTAGTATACTAGTATACTAATTTTGCACACAATTTTTTTTTATTTATTCGAAAAATAATCCAAGAATCACAGGTATAAGAAATATATTTGTGAACTATATTGTAGCGTTTTTTCAACCACTACCACTGCGAACGGCAGCTTTTCATCGGAGAGCAGTCGTGGATATGGTATTTCACTAGAGAAAATTAATCAGTAATAATTAACATAAGATATATAGATATTGGGCGCCAGGCATGTACAGAGAAAGAAAACACAGTTGTATAATACTTAAAACTAATGACTATATTTATTCATGATGAATTCTGATGGTAAATAGCCATTGTACAATTTTAATAATTATTATAGTGGTTATTTGTTGAGTAAAACTATGTATGTAAATAATATTAAATATGTTCTATGAAAAGACTATGAAAAAATACAATGCGTGTAACGTTATAGAAAATATAAGAAAAGTATCATTACTTTATTTAAATTGTTAAATTTTAATTGATGTGAAATCTGATGTGTTGCAACCTGTAGATTCTAGAATCTATGTCTCGTTATTCATCTGTTAATATAGCGCAATAATAATATCTATAGAAAGTAATACTATTACAAGGCGTAATATAATGAAACCTAAAATCTAAATCACATTGTAACTACTGAATCGACATAAATGTTCTTAATAATCTAACCACTAAATATAGTCTGTACGATATTATTTAAAATGTACGTTACTGTTTAAGACTGAAAATATAGAAAATCTAAAACATAAAAACTAGAACGTAAATCTACACTTAGCTGTTCTTTATGTAATCTTGCTTCAAACAGTAGCAGCGTGAGGTGGTCTCGCATCTCTGTACTGTCTGTCGGCGATCCTGTTGGCCAAAACAACAAAAGGGGCCAGATTGAGGACACCATGAATCACTACAGCAGTAGCTACTGACTAGGCTTAGAAATGGGAGTGAAGCAGCAGGGGACTCAAGCTACATCCACGCTGTGGCACTTATATGTAAGAAAAAAAATAATTCTTACTGGGGACACTCGTCCACAGGACATCTGTGCATAAGATAATGTCTGTACATAAGACACTACCCGTACCTTGGACACAGTCCGTACCTTGGACACAGTCCGTAACTTGGATACAGTCCGTACTTTGGACCCTAAAAATATGAAACTCTTGTTTAAAACCAAACAAGGTCTAATAAACAAAATAAACCTACCTCGAAATACTTCCGAGGGCTCAATAAATAATAAACAACATGTCCTTTCTTCCATGTGACATTCTGGAGGACAAAAGAAAAGGGACGCCAACGTGCCAGCAAAACACAAATACAAGTTGGGACATCCGTAACTCTACCCTAAAAATATTCAATAATAATATCGAATCTAAAAAGGATAATATTTCATCTTTACCTGTTGCTTTGAAATAGCAGCTGATTCAGATTATACAGCAAGATTTAAATAATCACCATTTCTAAAAGCTGGGATACAACAGAGCGTCAAAACAAAGTGAGGTTAAGCACGGAGAGAGTTGACAGAAGCGATGTTGACAGCGCCTCCTCAGAGCGATAACAGGGTTGTGTCGAACGATAACAGGGTTAGCGATTAGGGAACGTAAAAATTACGCGTCAAATAAACTATCCGGCCTGAACGAGAGGGAATCCGGTGATGATAGGCCCAGACATCATATAGTATATATAAAAAAGACATGTAACGAACTAAAAACGTTACAATATATTTCTAAAAATGTCTTTCTCTAAAAAATTCTGTCATGAGTTTTGGTCACGTCCATATCGTCAGTTTTTTGAACCAGAGCTTCTTTATGGTTCCCTTAATATCTCTTTTGAATATCTGACG